AAGCAAACATAATTATTACAAGAGACAATTTTGGATAAGAATTCAACCTTTTATAAAGTGACTTTGAGCAAGCAAACAAAGAAGAAAACTTTTAATACATATGAGTCACAGTAAAAACATAATACATAAAGATGTTTTATTACATAAAGTTACTTTTTAGATATTCTTCAGTCCTTGCAGATAGGCTCATGACTTGTAGACAAATTTGGATCATTATCAGTTCTCCATCCTTCCTGATCCATTACAGATTTGTATGGATCCTGAGAGTCTATTATTGTATCAATAACATGTGATGATTCAGCTTCACTTATGACATGACTTTCTCTTTCCTAATTTCCAAAAGTATGCTGAAAGAGATCAACGGTGGAATTACTTGTTGGACTTTATTCCACATATTTTGATCATGAGGATCTAGAGGGCAGATAATATCCATAGATTTTAACTTTGTACATGTGGAGTTTACTTTGATCATTTCTTCCTGGACTTCATTTTCAGCATGAAGATGAGTAATCAGATCAACCTGATGAAATGGTGGTCTTTCCAGTTCTGTTATATCCCTTATACTTTTATAAGTGTTCCAAAATCTAACTTGATTTTGAATATAAATTAATTTAGAAACTAGATGTTTGAAATAAGGTCTATGAATAATTACTACAGTAATATTTTTTGAAAACTCAAGAGGAGGTAAATTAATTTCTTTCCAAATACAGAGTCTCTTCATTTCAAACTAAATGTCTTTCTTCCAATACTGAATAGGTTGGAACCAAATTAAGAATTTCCATAACAGGAATGATTCATGCTGAGAATTATTGAGAAATTCAAACATCTTGAATGTGGAAAAGACTATGCGATAATGAAATAATAGAGTGACACCATAAATACCAAAGGTCTTCTTCAATCACAGGAAACTCCATTAATAAAGCAAAAATATTTAGATAAGGAGCATCAGGATGGAACCATGAAGGTTTTGGTTTGACACCATGGTTATGAAGAGAAAGCTAGATAATGGAACATATGATTTCGAACAAAATCCTTAATGTATTCTATAGTGAGAAAATCATCATTATTCAACTCAGGTGGAAAGATCTGAAGACGTTGGTAACTTGAACTTGCTTCAGCTATATTGAGTGAAAATATTAGTGGATAACTATGTGCAGAGCTGATAATGGAGATAGACTTTTTTGGTCTGAATAATATATCAAGGACAATATTCTTTTCTCCTTTGAAATGTTTAATAGTAAAATCATACCTGGAGAACCAATTCTTAAGCCTAAGAATTTGAGGATCATGAGACATTTTGTTTTTAAACTCAAGAAAAGCTAGAAAAGAGGAATTATCCATTTGAACTTCAAAATTGTGTCCTCTTAAATGGAAATCAAATTTTTAGATTCTATTTTTTACTGCCAGAGCTTCTTTGAATGTAGTATGATAATGCTTTTCTGACTCTTTGAATTGTCCACTAGCATGTCCACAATAAGCCCTTTTCCCATTTATTTCTTCTAACAGAATAGATCCCCAGTAATGATCACTGGCATCAATTTGTAAGATCCTTTTTCCTTCTCCAGAGATTTTTAATGGTGGAGGATTTTGAGTTATCTGTTTTAAATGACGAACAGCTTCAGTCTGTTCTGGACCCGATGGTGAAGGGTTTTTCCTTAAGAGCTTTGATAGAGGACTTGTATATTTAGCAGCATTAGGAATAAAATCCCTAATATAATTCAAGACCCCTAAAATCCCTAATATAAGCTGAAGGAAGAGAGTATAACGATGCTGTGAACGTTTCCCTAGAGTAAAAAGGAGATGGACTGAAAGGAAAATAATAAGTCGATTGAACAGGAGGTGGTACAAAAAGGGGATTTAGTTCATAATCCTTATTTTTGTTGTTTTACAACAATCAATTCATCCATTTCTTTGATCTGCTCTTTGAGTCTCTTGATCTCTTTATATTTTTTATGATATTCTCCAGTAAATACGGCCTTTTCTTCAGTCAGTTTCGAGATATCTAACTCTAATATAGCAATCTGCTTTTGAGATTCTTTATAATACTTTCTGAGTTTATCAAAAAGGTATTGAAGTTTTTCATCATTCTTGTGAAAGGATTCAACAATCTGGTCTATTTTTCCATCCATCTTTTTCAAAAGTTTGTTTTGGGCTAGAAAATTCTCAGTTTGCCAGTTGAAAACTTCTTCAGCCTGAGATGGAACTTTCAGAACTCCATCAGATTGAACTTCAGAGGGTATCACTGATGGCCTGGTATTGACCTTAGTGACAGGATCAACTTTCCTTTCAAGTGAAGGAAATTATTCCTCATATCTTGAAAACATCATGCAAGGAATAAGACCTTAGACTTTTTCTGAAGAAGAGATGAAAGAATTGCAAAGTCCTGGGGAGGAGGCCAAGTGATCAAATCAGGATCACTAGGAGGCTTGGATAAAAGTCCTTCTTTTTTCAAGATTTCAAGGGCTTCCTCATAAATTGGAAGAGGCTTTCTTTCTCTCCTTATTCCTACCCATGGAATAAATCTAGGGTCTCTCCTTCTGGGTTGAGGAGGTGGTTTGTAAAGTTTCTTTTTCTTTTTCTTTTTCTTTGAATTGTTTTCATCATCATCTAATTCTTCATCAGATATATCACTGGTATGCATCCAACAATCACAGTAAGGATCACACATAGAAGGATCAACATCCCACATGAAATGACCATCAAATTTATCTAAAAAGATAGAAGATCCATCAGATCTGAAACTGTATACTAGAATTCTGTCTTCTTCCTCAACTGGAATAACCATCATTGATTGAAAACAATTGGAAGACTGGCTAAGGTCATCTTCTGGCTTTTTGAATATAATCCGAACACCACCATCTATAGATCTTCAAAAAGTGGCTTCAAAGGACTAAATTGGTTTGTTGTTTTTCCTGATCTTCTCATAATTGGTTGTCCATTCAAGAGGAATTAGCTTAAGAAGTTCTTCTCTAGGAATTTGTCTGGGAACTTGGATGATAGAAGGAACTTCATCCTTATTTCTGTTGGCAATAACAAAAAGGTTGTTATTAACTATTCTTGGAAGAGAAAGATCATAAGCATGATTCTGTAGCCTGTAAATTATTTGATGATGAAGAGTTGCAGATAGTGCTTCTTCAATCTGCTCAGCTCCAGTAAGTTGAATTTGAACCTTCAACCTAGTTGGGAGAGTCTTGTCTTTCAAAGAGGCATTATAGTTTGGAAAAATAGTGAGAACCACACTTTCAGCATGAAGGGTGGTTAGCAAAGTGGCTATGACAGCATGCTCGTAGTGGATATAAGTGATATCAAGAAGAGAAATTCTGATAGTAACTAGAAGATTTTTCCTACCATGCAGAGATAGGACTAATCTGATTGCTCCAAAGTGTAGAGCAATATATCATTCAGTGTTCCAGTGATCTATAAATATCTTAGGGATCTCAAGATCAATATATTGCTCTTTTAAAGTGACAGGTAATTCACATTGATCCCTTCTGGGGGATTGGACATACTCTTCGATCAATAAATTGATCCTGTTGATTAGAGACTTTTTTCTTCTAAAGACTCAATATGGTGATTATGACTTTAAGAAAAAAAATGTCATTGTTTTTGTCTGCGCACAAAGCTCTATTATTGATCCACAAGAGATTCTTGAGAGTAAAGTAATGTTTTAGGTGATGGAAGAGGAGGAACAATACAATAAATGTAAGAGAGGAAGAAGTTGTTTTAAGAGTAATCTCATGGCGATGAAGTTGGTAAAATGCATGTTGAAAAATGAGGAAAGAAGACAAAGAAGAGGTGGAGAAAAAAGTTAAAATCTTAAAAAAAATGAACAATATACAAAAACTTAGAAGACAACAAACAAGATACATATCATAAAAAAAAAATTAACAGAATTAATATTTTAATAAAAAAGACTCATTGAAAAAAAAATTAGAAGTTAAAAAATTAAATCAAAATAAAGTTTGAAGACAAAATCAAATTTAACTTTTAAGTTAGAAGAAGAAAATACTAATTTTATTTATAAAATAATAAAAATTTTATAAAATATTATATCTCTTTTTTTTCAAGCACATTTGGCATGATACTAGAAACTTGTTTTGAGACGTTTTTCTTAGAGTAGATCTAGATTTGGATGCTCAAGTAAGATTTGGAGTATTCCAAAATCTCGGAGATGCAACTGCAAGAAGACAAATAGATAGTATTATAGAACATTCTGAGTTTTATAAATATGGTTAATTTAACCTCTCAGTCCTGCTGCATCAGCCCCTTGATTTTGAGATAAATCTAGAACTACAGATCTTGGATAAATTTAGTTTGGTTTAGATTTTTTTTTTTTAAAATGCAAGATGCTTTCTTTACAGTCATTGTGTATATTTCAAAATATACATTATATATTTAAAAAGTTACGAATAAAATATTAATTTTTAGATTATATAACATTATAAAAAAAGACAGATCAATAAAGTTTGACATTGATAAAAGATTATTGAACATAAATAAAGCAACGCCTACTGAAATCAGTAAAATATCATGTCACAGATGAAATAAATAATACATTAAAAACTAAATATTAACTGTAAGGAGATCAAATTAACAAAAAATATGGTATAGCTAAAATAAAAGGTTATCGCATACACAAGTTGCTTAATTAAGCTTATCCATAAAACAAGTTAGTTTGCATCAGGATGAAAAACTGTTCAAGCACTCAACTTTGTGAAAGAAAAAAGGCATGAGTACTGGAATAGACCTTTTATACAATTCTATGGCTGACTTATAAATTTCATTACGAACATCTTAACGTGGGGATGAATATCTTGGTAAAAAAATGTAAAGAAAATGTGTGTTTTCCCCGAAAACCAGTACCATCAAAACAATGATCACATGTTCTGTTGTGGACAACAAATGGGCAAGTTTATCTAGTATAAAGTTTTTGAAGAACGAAAACACAATCGTCAAGTAATCGTCTACAAAATGCTTTAAAGTGTATCAAAGCAGCATTGAATGTCGCTTAACTAAACAATTAATTACGCAATATTCGTCCATTTCAAAAGTGCTGGAAAACGATGAAGACATTGTTGTTATAAAACTTTTGATCAAATAATTAAAATGCTCACACTACGATACTTCTAATTCCAGGTGCCTAGCTCTTAATAATTTTGCAACTTACTCTCGTTTCAGCAAAATGGTACCACTGAAAATTTAGTCATCCCCACAAAAGCCATGCACGGACATAAAATCCGAAATACAATGCAAAATCTTACAATACTGACTTTCTTTTCAAGGAAATTTCGGTAGAATATTTCTTGGGCAACTCTTATGTTGCTGAAGATTAAACTGATATACTTTTGCAAAACTGAAAGCAAGCAAAAGGTTTGACCTTTTATGCAGACTCTGTTTCTGTGCCGCCCTCATCCTCTTTACTGTCAGAAGATTCAGTTTTGGCTTGTTCTTCTTGAGGTGCTTCCTGTTCAGGCTTTACAGGTCCAGGACCAGCTGATACCTTCACCATTGATGGGCGCAAAAGACGGTCACCAAGTTTAAAACCCTTTCTGAATTCTTGAATTATGATGCCATCCTCAAATTCAGTAGAATCCTCACGCATGATTGCTTCATGTAGCTTTTGCAAATAAAATGAAAATAATTTATTAGAAAAACCCTTGCTCATTTTTATCAATATCCTCTACCTTCAGAAACTACATTATATAATTTCATGAAAATAGACCCATGCATCTAGTGTTCTGTTCAAGGCCTTAGCTGACACAAAAAATGAGTCAAAGCATCTTACAAGAAACCAACTGAATATAGTTCTCTAACTAAGATTATGTGACGAAGTTCTCATACACTTTTTGCTACACAGCCTACTTTTTCCTTGACCTTTGTGATGCAGTTTTAAACTCGCGAAGTTGGCTCGAAATAATCAATAATTGCTTTGAGTTAAAAGCGTATCCAGGTCTTCAGGAAACCTGAACAAACTTGATAAAATGTTTGAAAATGTTCAGCAAGGACACGATTGAATTTCGAGCCAACAAGTTTGCGTGCCTGCATCAATCATAGATGACAGCATTATGCCAAAAAATTGAAAGGTTGGGTCTAAAAATATTTTTAAAAACTTAAGATATTTTTTATGGAAGTGAAAAGAGACTTGAAATCTCAGAACAATATTGCAATAATCCAAAGACAACATAAATTATACTGCAAAGGTGAACACAACTTAAGAGCAAAGTGTCCACTAACAAAATTGATAATTATACTGGTTGGTGTACAACAAAGAGACGTATCTTCTAGCACTAAGACAATGTAATATAAAATGTTTGATGCATTCTAACCTTTAATTGCAATTAAATTTATTATTTTTATTTAAGACAATGTAATATAAAATGTTTGATGCATTCTAACCTTTAATTGCAATTAAATTTATTATTTTTATTTAAGACAATGTAATATAAAATGTTTGATGCATTCTAACCTTTAATTGAAATTAAATTTATTAGTTTCATTTAAGACAATGTAATATAAAATGTTTGATGCATTCTAACCTTTAATTGAAATTAAATTTATTAGTTTCATTTTCAGATAGAATATAATCACCTGCATGATAAGATTTTTTTTCCTTTGAAAAGTCGGATATATTGGAATTTTACTATAAATTGAAATGGCAGAATGCTGATTAACTTACCAATGGATCAAAGGGTCTTCCTACTGTGTCCACTGGTTCAACTCCAAGTGAGGTTAGAATTTCAATGAACTGTTTATATATGCTCTGATAGCTGTTGTTTATTTTCTCCTCTGCCTCTGTCTCCACCTTAATCTGGGCTTTTGCTCTCTCAAAATTATCCACTACAGGCAACAAACTCTCCACAACTTCCCCCTGAGCATTTGTGACCAGTGAAAGGCGATCTCTCTCTGTTCTCTTCCGAAAATTGTCAAAGTCTGCACTAATCCTAAGAATCCGATCCTTTTCTATTGATAACTCTTCAGATAATGAAGCTATTTTTCCTTCAAGATCTGTTTTCTCTTCTTCGATGGATTGTAATGATGATTCCATCTCAGCAACTCTGACTTCATCATTGTTAGCTAATGCTTCTTTGTAAGATTGGAGTAACACTAGGAAAGGTGAGGCAGGTGTCTCATTCACATCGCTAACCTCATTATCATTTGCACTGTCCTCTACACCTACAGCGCCATCTGAAGAGTCCTGTTACATTAGTGTATCAGAAAAATGGGGTGGGACAAGGAACTAATAGTAATACTAAGACTTCAAATTCCGAATGTCAAAAATATGTATTTGTTAAGGGTGAAATCACACTTGGAAAGGATTGGGTGGGGAAAAAAATCTGAACCAAAAAGGAAAAGGTGGCATGGATCCCAAAATCTTTTAATGAGAAATCCAGAATCCATTGTGAAGAGTAAAATGTAGTAAAAAACAAACATCAACTGAGGTTTTACATAATTAATATGTGTTTTAAATTGGAGAATATCTTAAACTATCCTAGAGGATTACTTTACCTATTTCCCCATCATCTCTCAGGATTGGCTACCATATTTTCCTCATCTCATGATTTGTTTCCCATTTACTTAGGATCATGATTAGTATAAGGGTTAACACTACCTTTTATAAATATATCATCACATTGTAAGAATTTACATAATATAGGGATAATATCAATATCTTATATCTATTCTCTATTCTCTATTCTCTCCCTCTACACCTAAAATATGGAAGGGACTAAATTAAAATAAATGTACATATGAAAATTGAGTAACAAATTCTTTACATATAGGAACTAACTTACAAATTTTTTACATATAAGGATTAACTTACAAATTCGAGTCAAGGGTGTTTTTGTACATTTGCGAGACACCTTTGAGTTGCATCTCGATTTTGATGGTGTTGAGGAAGTGGAGAAAGGTGTAGATAAATGCACATGCCATTCTGCTGCTAACAACCCCAATGAGAGCACATTCAAGGATGGAAAGGATTTTGATGAGGGATTGAAGTTGGGGGTGGATAGGTGTGAGTGAGAGTGAGGGTCAAGGTTATGAAATGATTGAGGAGAGAAGAAAATTTAATGAAGATTGTTGAGAGTTGGTTGAGATTTGAAGATAGGAAGCTAAGAGAAGAAGAGACTCTAGCCTCCATTGAAGTTTACACGAAAGAAGAAGAAAAATGGAGAGAGTGGAATTGGAAGTGTGGGTAAGGGTGAGAGTGATGAAGTAATTGAGAAGAGAAATTTGATAAGAGTTAGTTGAGTTTTGAGAATGGATGGCTAAAAGAGGAAGATAGACCAAAGAGAGTGAGATTGAGAGAAGCAGCAGCACAAAAGTTAGGGAAAAGAAAATGACAACGTCATCATTTTGTTTATTCGTCTCTATACTTTACTCAAATTTATATGTTAGTGTTTATATGTAAAAAATTTATAAATCAGTCCTTATATGTATATTTATATCAATTTAATCTCTTGCTTATTTAATATTGTTTACTTTAAACTTAATAGCAGGGACTAAATCAAGAATAAATGTAAGTATAGGGACTGATTTACAAATTTTTTATATGAAAAGACTAACTTACAAATCTGAATCAAATATAGGAACTACAATACCATTTAAACCTAAAAATTATTAATAGTGAGGTTATCTTTATATTTTCAAAATATTTGTTTAATTTTGGTAACTTCTGTCTCTGGGTAGTATTTTAGGTCAAATTTATGTTGATTAAGTGTTCTAGTGTCTTACTTGTGAGGTTCACGTACTCTAAATGAACATGAATTAGTAATAAATAACAAAGATTACAATTAGGGAGTTGGTTTGTTGTAAATTGTGCCTAGGCCCTGGGAAGTTATAGTTTAATAAGTGTGATTTGGAATTCCAAAGGGATTGTTTAGGAGAGGGCTTTTAGAGGAGAGAGGAGGGGAGGGGGTATCTTTTAATTTTAAATTAAGAGAATTATATACATCATTTATAATGATAAATGCATGATTAATATATTGAGTTAAGTTTATGTTAATTTATCATTTTAGATGCCTTTTATTTTAAAAAAGTATTAATTTAAAATACATTTATTTAAAATAGAAAACTTTTCCTCCCCTTTCCAAACAACTCCAAGATATGTTTGGAATTGAGTTTCAGAGAAAAGGGGAAGAGATGACAAACTTCTTCATTTCTAATAATTATTCTCTAATTTGGTATTGTGTAAAATGAAGGAAATAAAATAATATATTAACATAAACTCAATGTCTCAAGCTTCTTCTTCTTCTTTTTTTTTTAATATACATAAACACTATATAACTCATGAATTTTATTGACTAAATCAATCTTTTGTTTCTTACTTTCTTTTTATAAACATTATATAATCGAATTAAAAAATTGGCTTTCCTTTTCTTTTTCTACAAAATTTCTGTCCTAAACATAACCTAAGAGATAAGGTAAGACAATCATGGATGAAATCCGTATGGTCTCAGCACACACTATCAGAGCTAACCATCATCCTCTTTCTTTATCATCAAGAAGAAAAAACCCAAGAACTTTACCACTAGTTTCCCTACATTGCAGTACCCTCAACTCAAACACTAATTAGTAGCATAACACTTAACATCCAAACTTCAATCTTCGGACAATCTTCCAAGGAATTATGGTTCTAGTAGACAGTTTCTGCGGGGCATAAGCGTGCAAAAGTTTCTGCAGGCCAAACAGAGATTGGTCCTCAAGTGCAAAAGGCTTGACTGCAAGACCCACCCATCAAGCAGGGGATGAAAGTCAGCCTTTGACAGTACCGAGTGGAAGGACTGTCACTCAACGGGTAAAAGTTACTCTAAAGATAAGAGACCTAATCTCCCCCAAGAGCTCACACTGGGGCTGTAGTATGTTCCAAGGGAGGTGGGTTGATCTAACTTAAAAGAGTTTGCTGCAAGACTACACCAATAATACTTTTGAAGGAAGTGGATGATTCAAATTTGGCTTAACTCAACCCAAAAGATACGTCAAGGGTGAATAATTGCCCAAATCATTATATAGGATCTTAAAATCCACTCCTCACACTCTCGTATCAAATCAATTTCGATAGTTAAAAATTTATAATCACAGTAAGGCTATGTTACTAAAGACATTTTAAAGTTCACCGAACAGCCTCTATCATTTCAACACGCAGCTCGCTAAAAAATATTGCACGCAAAAAATGCTAAAAAAATTCAAATCCGTTCCAATTCCTCAGCCAATAAACCATCAATTAAAAACAAGAGACAGAGCGAAAGAGAGAGACTAACCAGAACCTGAACCTCTGGTTCCTGAACTTGCGGGGCCTCGGTGTCGCCATCGAAAGCGAAGGGAACGAACTTGCCGAACCGTAGGGATGGAATGGTAGGGAACCGCAGAGAGTTGATGGGTGAGGGTCTCCTCCTAGAGGCGTGTCTGAAAGACCCAACGGAAACGCACGAGGGTTTCGGGGACTTTGAAGAAACGCTGCATGACGGTGGCCGGAAGATGGGAGTTCTGAGGACAGTGGCCATGGCGAAAGAGAGAGAGAGAGAGAGACAGACAGACAGAGAGAGAGAGAGAGATAAGGGGCAAAGTGGCGAATGTGGAAAGCTGAACAATTGAAAAAAATGGTGGGAAAGTAATGTCCGTTTGATGGGTGTGTTATTTAATCGGACGGTTCTGGTTGAATCGCATTCGTTTTGGAGGAAACCCTTGTTATATGAAATATCTGGAACAATCTGCGCCGTCTCTCCGAACTTAATTTTAGTTCTGTTGTTTCCATTTAAATATTATCTAAAATGTTTTTCTTTATGATTAAATTAATAACTTAGAGATTTTTTTTTCTTTAGTTCTAGGAAATTTTATATAAAATGGAGTAATATTAATTTAATGTCTAAATAAAATTACTAACCCTAATTTTATCTTTGAAAAGAAAAGTACTTAATAATTTCCCTCCGCTAGTAATTGGCAATTGAAAGGTTAAAATTAAGATTATATAAAATTAATTAAGATTAAATTATTATTTTAATCTTTAATTAGTAAATGTATCCATACACAAATTTATTTTTTTATTAAATTAATTTATTTTAAAATATAAAATATATAATTTAAATATAAAAATAAAAAATATAATAAAACAATTTATTTGTTATAATAAATTTTTATTTAAAATTATTTAAAACATGTATAATTTAGTATTTTTTAAAATAAAAAATTAACATAACATATTTTATTTTTAAAATATAAAAATAAAATTTATATTATTTCATAATATCATAAATCATTTATTATTATATAATTTTAAATAAATAATAATAATAAACTTTTCAATATAAATTATAAAATTTAAATAAAAGACTTTATAATTTTTTATTTATGTATTTGTTTATATTTATAAAATTAAGTTTATATGATAAACTATTGATTTATAATTATAATTTAAAATTATTACTAAAATATTATTATATAATTATTAAAGCATGATATTATATTTTTTTAAAATAACTTATCAAACTAATATATATAAAAATAAAATTGTATTTATTTAACTAAAGTATAAAATTTTAAAAATTTGCTTTCAATACTAATATATACAAAACTATACGTTAATATTTAAAAATAAAAATATAGTAAATTTTTTATATATAAATAAAATCACTACTAAAATTATTGTAAATAAAAATTAATAATAATATAATATATATTCTGAACTAAAATATTATTTTTGATTAAAAAAATATAGAATTAAGTTTTTTTAAAATAATTAAATTATTTTATATTTTTATAACTTAATAGAATTAATATTAATTGATATTATAAATAAATTAACTTTATTTAATAATTAAATATAGTAAAATTATGTTGTTTGAGTCATAAAATTAAAATAATAAATTTACTAATTTTTATTATGTAATTTTCTTAATTTCTAAAAATAATTAATACAATTTATTTATCATTTATATTTTAATAAAAATAATTATTATCATTTTTAATAATATATAATTATCAATTCTAATAAATATTTTTTAAAAACAATTCAAAAGTAATAAGTACAAATTAATTATAATAATAATTCTTAATTATACAACTTATTATAATTAATTTCAATAAATTTTTATTTAATATATTTTTAAATTATCTTATTTTATTTTATATATAGTATTTTTTATGTAAATTTATAATTTTATTAAAAATATAATTTAACAATATATAATATAAACTAATAATTTTGTAAGTGTAATTTTTTTACTTTAAAAGAAATTTTAGTTTTTGAAATATATATTAAATTATATATTATATTAAACTAATTAATAAAATAATTTAAATATATAAACTTGTCTTTTTATTATAAATTTAATTTAACAATATATAATATAAACTAATAATTTTATAAATGTAATTTTTTTATTCAAATTACATTTCAATATTTTATATAAATATTGAAATATAAATTATATTAAACTAATTAATAAAATAATTTAAATATGTAAACTTATTTTTTTATTAAAAATTTAATTTAATAATATATAATATAAACTAATAGTTTTGTAAATGCAGTTTTTTAATTTAAATAATATTTTAATATTTGAAATAAATATTGAAATATAAATTATAATAAATTAATTAATAAAATAATTTAAATATATAAAAAATTATTAAAAATTTAATATAATAATATAATATAAAGTAATAATGTTATAAGTGTAATTTTTTAATTTAATGTATATTTCAGTGTTTGAAAAAAAATTATTAGAAATTTAATATAATAATATATAATATAAAATAATAATGTTATAAGTGTAATTTTTTAATTCAATGTATATTTTAGTGTTTGAAACATATATTAGATTATAAATTATATTAAACTAATTAACATAATAATTTAAATATGTAAATTTATCTTTTCATAAGAAATTTAATTTAATAATATAAATTATAAATTAATAATTTTATAAATATAATTTTTTTAATTTAAATTACATTTTAGTATTTGAAGTACATATTAAAATATAAATTATATTTAATTAATTAATTAATTAATTTAAATTAATATCATTTAAATTTAAATATAACTTAAAGTAAAGATATTTTTATTTTAAATTTTTTATATATACAACTATCAATTGTAATAAATTCTTGTTAAATATATTTTATAATAAGTATGATTAAATATAATTTTAATTTGTAAATTATGAAAAATATTATAATTAATTTTAATAAATAATAATTTAATATAATTTATAGTATGAACATTTATGTTATCACTTGTAACATAGTATAATTATCAATTCTAATAAATATTTTTTTAAATATAATTCAAAGATAATAAATATAAATAAAATATAATTTCAATTCGTAAGTTATACATTTTAAATTTTAATGCATAAAGTAATAAGTAAGTGCAATCAATAAGAGTAATTTTATAGATTCTAAATTTTAATATGATAAAATATAATTTAAATTCGTAAGTTATACATTTCAAATTTTAATACATACAGAACTAAGTAAGTTCGGTTAATAAGAGTAACTGTATAGGTTCTAAATTTTAATGCATAGAGTAATAAGTAGGTGAAGTTACGTATATAAAAATAACTTTAAATATTTTAAAATTTAATGCATAGAGTAATAAATAAGTGCAGTCAATTTTATATAAATATATATAGATTTTGTTATCTTTTTAAGTTTATTCTCAATTTAATAAAAAAACTATTTTGGTTACTAACTTATTAGAATATATTTTATATGAATTCTTATTATTGGCCAATATTAATAAAAACTAATTAAATTATTTATATATTGTTATAAGTTTAAAGTTTACATGTTAACTAAAACATCATATGTCATAAGACAATTTTTAAAAAAGTAATTATAAAATTTATATTTAAGTTCACTTCTTTTTATATAAGATCCTAAAATGATTATTATTTTTTTATTTGTCTAAAATCTTTGTTAATGTCTATTGTCTAACCTTTAATATTGGTATAATTAACAATTTTTAAACTAAATTAACATTTAACATATCTGTAAATACTTTTTTTAAGCTTCATAAGTAGGCAGCCCATGGTAAGAAATGGAAATATATCATGAGTGATATAACATCTTTTTATTTAGAGTCACAAATAATAGATTTTTGTTTTCTATCATTTGTAAGTTGCATTGTTTTTCCTTTGATTGTCATTGATACTTAGTGTGAGTAGTGTTTTGTTCTAATAAATTGTTGTTTATTTTTATTTTTGTATATTACTAAAATAAAATATTAATTTAATTTTTATAATTAAGTTCATATAATATTTTACTATAACCAAGTATAATTATTGTTGTAATTTATTATGCTAGTAAAATATTTGAAGGAGTGTAATGTATTATTAAGTTTGAACATAATAAAAAAAGTAATTCAAGTTAAATGAGGATTAATTTATATAAATTAAAATAAAAAATTTATATAAATTTGAAGGTTGAAATAAATGAAATTGTATCTTAAGAGAATTTAGAAATGTTGAATGAAAATAAAAGTTTGAAAGTGTTAAAAATGTAGAATAAGAGAAAGAAGAAAAAAAAAGAGTAATTAAAAATAAATATTATTTGATCAATTATCATTCTTTTAAAATTATAAGTTTTCATATATCATTTAAGTTAGAAGTTTCAAAATTAGTAACTAACATTATAAAGTTTGCTACAACAACAAAAAATTTAGAATAAAAATAGTTAAAGCAATTATTCTTAATTTATACTAATATTGTCCCCTCAAGCTCAAGTAGGTTAAGTAATTAAAAATTGATCAATTATTTAAAGTTTGTGTCTAAATCTTATACTTCTTAATACTATTGTTTGAATGTCAACAATTTGATCACAAGCAAGAACATGAGATATAATAAGACTTTTGTTTATATCTTTCTTTTTAACAAAATAAATATCTAACTCTAAATGCTTTGTTGGGGAGTAAATAATAGGGTTGTGAGCAAGAGATATAGTGTTGAGGTTGTCACAAAATAATAGGTGTTGGAAGAAGAGATTGATGTCATAAAAAAATTTTATACTTGTTGTCGTGCTACATTATCTAACCTATGTACTAGAAAAAACTACTAAAATATGCTTTTTTAGACCACTAAAATACAAGATTAAGCTCAAAATAAATACATGGATCAAAAGTGGATCTACAATCATTCAAAATTGATTCCTTATCAGCATCACTAAAAAATAAAATCATTAACTATTTAGAGTTAGAATTAGGTTTAAAGTGAAGAGTACCTTTAAAATATCAAATGATATGCTTTACAAGTTTTCAAGAGATTGAAAAGCCTTATTCCCACTAAAGCTAATTTTTGAACATATAATGATGGCATATTGGAGAATACACACTCTTGATATGTAAAGATAAGGTTCCTAATCAGTACTAAAATTAGAAAGTTCTTTACCTCCAACAATAGGTGTAGCTATGCTAACTATTGACATATTAATTTTTGCAAGATTATGAATATATTTTGATTGAGATAAAAAAAATAAAACATTTACAAGAGTTTTTACTTCTATTTTTAGAAAGTAGTCTATGTTACCAAAATGTTTTAAAATAAAGACATAATTTAACTTTCCTATAAGCTATTGAATTTGATTAAGAGAGTTTCCTATGATGAGAATATCATCTACATAAACCATAGTGTAGATACAAAAATTTGCAATGAAAAAGGACAAGTCACACTTGCATATTTTAAATTTAAAGTTGTGAAAAATAGTTGCAATTTTGTCAAACCA